GTGCAGTCCGGGATAGCGGCCCCACTGGTGACGGTTCTCGGCGACTTGTCTTCATCATGGGCACCTGGCTCGGTTCATTTTCGAAACACCGAGAACTGTTTAATGTAGAAGCCGGAATTGTTACCAATGCGGTTTTCGGGTGATTCCCTATTTTTCTGAGCATAGTATAGTTTACATACATATACGTATATACATGTATGTTTACCACATATTTACAAGTATTCACACGTGTGTATATATAGAAACATAAATATAAATATAAATATATATATATATATACATAGTTAAATAAGTATACATACACACACACATATATATATATACACATATATATATACATGTATATACATATATATATATATGTTGTGATATTGATAATACGTACTATAGCATATCGTGGTACAATGTAGCAGTTTACAGTCACCTCAATCCTCAACCCCTCCGTGATCTCTAAACTCGGGCCTGGCGCGAGCACGGGCTCTGAATGAGAAGGCAAGCGGAGAAGAGCTACACCGCAGGTGCCACCACTTCAGCGAAAGCTGGATGTTGTAATCTGAGACTGTAAGCGAGATGCCACCTACATCCAACGAAGACCTACAGACGAGAGGCAGAGCTCTCCAAAGTTCCAGGTGCTACAAGTCTCAACGCTCCCTGCCCCCGCTCAACCCCTAAACACTTGATACCGCGTCCAAGGATACGGGACGCGCCAGAGCCAGGCGCCCTCGGTTGGCTTCTCATAGGTTTGAGGATGCTGAGGGGGTTTTGCGGGGGTAGTGGGGCAGTTAGACCCTCCTCGAAGTCGTGTATAGACCCGAACTTTGTAGCTTGATTGTGGGCCAAAGGCTTCTAGAAGGATCAGTACCGGTCGCCACCGGCTACTCAAGACTTCGACCTTTGGGCCTGAGGCTTAGGTCGATGAGTGGATTTCTCCGTAAACCGCCGTAAACCTAAATCCTAAACCCCTTCAGCCCGGAAAGCGAAGTGTGCTCTTTGGAAACAAGCAGCAAATTCAGCAGGATAGGTAGCAAGAGCCTATTCACTACCGTAAGCCTGCCCTGGCAGATTGGATCCAACTCCTGTGTTGAACCTGCAAGGAGTATAAACCCTAAACCCTAAACCTGCAGCTCAGCCGAGCGCGAGCGCCGAAACCTGCAACTCCTGCTTTGGACCTGCAAAGGAGTATGCTTTGCAGATCATGGCGCCTCTTTCGGTCAGCAACTCCGCCCAGGACAGCCCACAGAGATCGGACGTAGTTTACATGTTTGTTTCCTTCTGGCATTTCATGCCTTTCGGAGCATAAAGCATGTGGCATACTCCGCGTCTGATCGTTTTAGGAGTCATTGCCAGTGCCATGTTCACAGTTGCCCGTCATTGCAGTAACTATGATCAACTACGGGTGTGACAAGTACTATCAGGGATGATTCCGCCAGTGCTATCGGTATGACTATCAGTGTGACAACCATTAACCCTGAACTTTAAAACCCCTGACCCCCAAAACCCTAAGCCATGATCTTGCAGGATGCCCTATAAGTCCTAAACCCAAATTGAAGGATGGTTTTGGTTGCACAAGTTCCGGGTGCCTCGTAACTTAAAAGGAGATCGTAGGCTAGGAAGGTCGCTGTGTTGGAGAATGGAATTGGTGGAGTTTCCGGGAGTTTTTTTTTTTTTGGGGGGGGGAGTCTTTTCAACAAAGCTTCAAGGTGTTTGGGGTATGGGGCTTAGGGCTTTAAGGTGTTTTGGGGGTTTAAGGGTTTTCTTGGTCTCTTTGCATGGGGTTTTGTGGTGTAGATGCTTGTTTCTTTGGGGGGAGTAGAGGAGGGCGGATGTGATCGTTGCTTTTAGTTGCTTCCGGCGTGTAGGTTCTGGCCAGGCAGCTTTGGCCATATACTGGGTAAGAGGGTTTGGGGTCAACCCTAAACCCCTAAGCCCGAAACCCGAAACCCTAATGGTTGACAGCTCAGTGGTTTAAATGCGTCGGGAGTTAGGGCCGATTGGTTTGGGGGTTCGTAGCTTAGCCCCGGAGGCTGCGGAGACATCTACTTACGAAAACCGTGGGGTGTAGGGTGGAGGCTTACTATAGCCCTAATGGAAGTGTCAGATTGCCCCCGGGGGCCCGCTGTATGGAGTCTACGACTACGAGCTGCGACAACTCGGTCCCTGTCCTTCCGCTTCTTATAGGGGCTTCAATCATTGCCAAGACTGTCTTGGGGTGTTCCTTACAGATCTGAATTCTATAGTACAACCCTGGTCTGTTTCTTATATATCTTAATTTTACGGTAGAATCCTGGTAGAATATTCCGCAGCACTCTCTTCCAAACATCAAGGCCACAATGTTACTTTCAACAATTACAGGCGGCTTTGGGGCCAAGGGTTGTCGCTTTGCTCCCCTTCGCCTAGGCAGGCCCCCAAAAAAACTTGCTAACTACGCTACAGGACACTACCCTTTGATGACCTGGACCCACAAACTCTGGAACCTCGCACAGAACTCTAAGCCTTTCAGTATTGCCTGCAGAACTTGCTTGGCTTTGTCCCGAGTCTGAGTTTCACAAAGCCGACCCCAAACCCTCAAAACCCCTAAACCC